CTAATAAGTTATACCTCAATAAAAAAAGTAAATAAAAATAAATGTTAAAAAGTAACCAATTAAGATTGCTTTCCAGGAAAGGAAGTGTATGTATATTCTTACATGTTAGTTTATACCTACTTGACTCAAGGAGAGAATATGAAACAAAGAATTTTCTTTTTTTTTTTTTTTTTTAATTAAGCCACCATGATCTGGGCATTTTGAGAAAAGCAACTCAGAGGCAGCTTTCTAATCCTACATCTAATTAGACCAGAGGCCTTTATATGAAGTTAGTGAGCTGCTTTCCGATACTTGTTTAGCAGATCTAACAGCTTCCACCTCGTGCTGTAGAAACAAAAATAAATCTGTACATTTCCAAGAAAAACAAAGAAATTAGTTTCTATCCTCAAATCTACTACAGAAAAGCATTCATAGGAACCACACACAGTTTAATGATCTAGGACTTAAAAACAGATATAGCCTGCCAGCATTTTGAGTCTTCAATAATAGCAGTGGTCACCTGGGGCAGCGGAAATAACATGGTAACGATATTTTGAGAGGTTCCTGGAATCAAAACACAGGTCAGATTTTTCCCTTTTCCTTTTGTTTTCAGGGGAAAATTAGTTATTCTCACAGGGATTGGGGACAATTATTTTCTCAGACTGTGATAACCAGGCATGGTCTATTTCTTCTCACATATAGTCTGAAACTAGTATAGTAAAAAATCATCTTGTACTGTTAGCTAATTTTCAAGCCAACAGTAGGAGGACAGTCAGCTTTCTGAAACAGGAAGAGCACAGGGCTCGGGACAGATCAAGGTAAAAACAAAAACATCTATTATTTAGTGATTGGTGGTGATATCTATTTGGACACAAAAGAATATAAAGCAGGTAGTCAAGTCAGTGGAAAAACAAAGGCATTTTGTTTACCTTGTCATATTAAACTGTATAAGTATGATTACAAAAGATAATAGCAGTTCTCTGCTATTTAGAACTTAAATGTGTGAAAAATTTTGAAAGTCTTTTTGCAGTTTTGCCACTATGGATCAAAAACCAAAATTACAGAATAAAATATGTTTTTGGCTGCTTGATACTACATAATGAAGAACTGTTCACGTTTTATAGATTTATTCCAAGAAATTCAACAAATACCTCAAAACAGTATATTAAGACACTTCTAAATGTGACTATTTGCGGAAATAACCAGGATGAAGTTGTGAAAAATCTCAGTCACAGAATTTAAAAAATAAATGCAGTTTCATTTAGATACAGCTCATGACCTCAATGTAGAACATATTGGCAGATTAAAGTTCTTAGATACTTGCTTTATCTGTTAATGAATACATAAAAATGACTTGTGATTAACACAGCTGTACTTGGTAACCAACTCACAGACTATATATAAGAAATGTGAATAATCATACTATGGATTTTCTTACACCCCTCCCTTCACCATGGATCTTGTAAAGATGAAAAGTTCACAAATTCAGAGTTGCACTCAACCTAAATATACCTCTAATCTACTTTGTAAGGAACTGAGAGTTTTACCACTGAAAAGATCACTGAAGCTTTCACGTTTTGAAACTTCACCTCTCCCTATTTGGTAGAAATTTTATAATGTGAAAACAGACATTGGGAGCGACTGACTCTGACTCCTAAAATCAAGGAAAATATTTCTGCTAAGTACAAAAATAAAGTTCTCAGCACATTATCAGTTACAATTACAGAGCCACTGAAACTACCTAGGCTTTTCCTGACCCTCTTAAGATTAAATCAGACACTGCTGCTAAGTATGCTTATCCAGTTCTTTAGCAGAGCACTTATGCATCAGTAATATAATTCCTGGATTATTTGTCTCTCCTACTAGGCTGACTGTAAGCTCTATAAGCACAAGAACTATATTTATAAACTTCCACAGAATTATACTTTTATATATTTACATATACATGTATATATATAAACTTGTACTCCTCAATTATTATAATGAATTATTTGGGATATTTCTCTTAATGAATCCTCTCCCATCAGACGCTCAGTCTGTGATGTTTACCTTTCGTCTCCTTGTCACCTAATACATGTTTTTTGAATGAATTTCCACAGCCTAGTAGAGTGTCAGTAAACTCAAATAATTTGGTGAACTAATCAATCGATTTTCTAAAAGCACACCAAGCTTTCCTTCCCATAGCTGAGTGGGTGTTTGTCAAGCTCCCAAATGATAAGAATCATTCTAAGGTGGCCAGATAGACACGACGCTGTGCCTTAAAACTTGCAAAGTTAATCTCAGACAATTGAGCATTAGAAATTCTTATTCTGGGTTCTCAACTTTACCCATCCTTGAATGGGCTTCAAAAAATTAGACTCACATTCCTTGACTGAAGAATGTACATCCTTTATGAGAACATCTCATTTCCTTTATAAATATATTTAGGAGCATTGTAAAAAGAGAGGTGGAAGAACATCTATGATTTAGCTTTTTGGACCAGCTCAATCTATACAGACAAGCAACAGAGACAAAAGTCTGTTCCTATGTCTCCCCCCAAAAACAAATTCTACATTGAAAAGGCAACAGGCAAAGGAACAAGATAATAAAATGACAAATTAATGGATAATCCATTACATAATAAAACTAATGTGCTGTCTAAATCCAGTAATTATCATTACTGACTAGTTGTTAACCATTAAAAACAGAGCTATCTCATTTGTAATTTTAACTTTGAAACCCTCCACTGCACTCAAATATAAATATAAATGCAAGCAGAAAAGGAAAGGGTTTTAACTGAAGTTAGAAGTAGCACCCCCATGCCCACTTACACTGTGACCATATTTAGTAATTTCACGAAAACAACTGAAGCCTTAATTCCTCCTGTGAAACAACTTCTTGAGACTTTTAATCACCAGAGCTCTGCTGAAGATTTCCATTTCATCAGCCCCCTCCCAGCTAAGCTGGATTTCTCCTTCTCTCGTAGAGTGCTGTCCCATGAGATTCTGAACTCCCTCATCAAGGGGTTTCCCCGACCCCACTGGGCAAACCCCAGCCCTGGCAGCCTCCTTTCTCCAGGGCTGCTGACTGGCCAGAGAGGAAGCGGCACGCTGGCCTGAGCTCATTAGAGATGATTAGTCCCACTCCAATCCCAATCTTGATGTTGATTATTAACACAATTTTCCACCCCTCATGGAATCTACAGCACTCCTAAATGGAGATGTTCGGAAATGCACACTTCTAAATGTGAGTATAACCACAAAGATGAAAAGGTCAAAGACCTCGGTTCACCTTTATTTCTGATTCTTGGCTCTACAAAGCTACTTTGTACTGGAGTCCCCTACCTACGTGTTTAGTGTTTGTTTAAAAAGAAAAAGCAGAGAGAAGTGGTCAGCCAGCAAAAAAAAAAAAAAAAAAGAACCCCAGGTCAGGCGCAGTGGCTCAGGCCCGTAATCCCAACACTTTGGCGGGCAGATCACTTGAGGCCAGGAGTTGAGACCAGCCTGGCCAACATGGTGAAACTCCATCTCTACTAAAAATATAAAAAATTAGCCCAGCATGGTGGTGCACACCTGTAATCCCAGCTACTGGGGAGGGTGAGCCACGAGAATTGCTTGAACCTGGGAGGCAGAGGTTGCAGTCAGCCGAGATCGCACCACTCTACTCCAGCCTAGGTGACAAACTGATGCCCCATCTCCAAAAAAAAAAAAAAAAAAAAAAATTAAAAAGTACCTGAAGTAGAATTCTACTTGTAAAATTCTTCTTGAACCCTCTAGTCATTCAGCTCTTTCCAGGACAGGCACCCCAAATCTCAGTTCCTCATTCAAGATCTGTAAGCAACTATCCCTGGGCCTTTTTCATTCAGAGCCCTCCTGCCCCTGTCAAGTAAAATTTGATTCCTTCTCTGTATCCTTTCTTTCCCAAGTCCCTAAGCCTGGAGGGTTCTGCATCCCTCCTTTCATTTATGTAGAAATACTATTTCTGTCAAAAGCCTACATTTTGCAATTTATTTTCCTTTCAAAATCTTTCCTTCACTACCTCTTACCCAAACATTGAGTCCTCCTTCCTTCCTCCATGCTCCTTGCAGGACCTGTGCTAAGTAATTCATTTGTTTGCTACTTTTTCATTGTGTTTTGTGACGGATTTTCATTTGGATTTCATAGGTAATGATAATCACCTTGGCTATTTCCTAACTTCATAACCCATTTATGCCTGAGGTTATAATTTTTTGAATTTCTGCAATCAGACTTTGGTGATGACCTTGAGCAGCAGGCTATAAATAACTCCCACATGCTCAGTGTTCCAATAATGGAACACTAGGCATCAATGGGATAACCTAATCTAGTTTTTTGAGACAGTCTTGCTCTGTTGCCCAGGCTGGAGTGCAATGGTGCAATCTCGGCTCACTGTAGCCTCTGTCTCCTGGGTTCAAGTGATTCTCCTGCCTCAGCCTTCTGAATAGCTGGAACTACAGGCGTGTGCCACCATGCCTGGTTAATTTTGTATTTTTAGTAGAGGTGGGGTTTACTGTGTTGCCCAGGCTGGTCTTGAACTCCTGATCTCAAGTGATCCACCAGTCTCCCAAAGTGCTGGGATTACAGGCGTGAGCCACTGTGCCTGGCCACAATCTAATATAGTTTTAAAATATATTTTTAAGTATTACCTAAAGAATTGGGTTGAGCTACATAAAAGTGTTATTTTTAATAGGTAAAAAAATAGTCAAGTATCAATATTGTTACATGGTTAAACTGAGTATTTTTATTGGAACTCAATAAATGTTCTTAAATGTCTTCTTGTTACCTTCTACTTCAGGATAATTATGTAGAAACTGCCTCACAATATCTAAGTCTGTCTCTCTAAAACTTGTAAAACATTTCTGCCCAAACTAATTAAGGGATTCAGTGCTTTTTCCAAATGTCAAGTTCCTATTATAAAAATAAAACATTATATTGTGTAACTAAGATAACAAAGAATTGTATGACACTTCTAGAAATGCAGCAGAAAAGAACAATTCAGGTTGAATGATAATATCTTAAACTTACCCTCTTCTGTAGGATTAAACCCACAGATGTCACAAATACAACGAACCCACTTATTCATCTCCTCCTCGCTGTCTGCTACCAAGTAGAAAATCCGGTCAATAGTGTTGATATCAAAAATGTAGCTATTTTCAAACTCTTTTTTGTTAAATGTCAATCCAGCATCTACTTGTTGACATAAATTTAAATCAATAATACGAATCGGCTTCTTGGCATGATCATTTTTGTAATATTCCAAAACATCTGGATCTCCAGTTAAACGGCCACTGCGTAACACGAACCATCTCCGCTTCCATGCCTAGAAACAAAACAAAAATATCCATTCAGCATTGAGATGTTTTCAAGAAGATGCACATTTATCAAACGAATTTTACAAATGCATTGTCTAGAGAAAGTCACAGTGTGTTTGTGTGTGTGTGTGTGTGTGTGTGTGTGTGAACCACAGAATAATCTGCCACTCTGAAAAGCAAAGTTTACTGATACCTCAATTAACTTAATAATGTATATATATTCCATATCTTCTCTTAAATCTCCTACTATATAATATCAAGTCAATAAATCAAGGAATATTTAGTTTTTACTAAATATAGAAAAGTTATGGTTTCAACGAACAGTGTTGGGAAAACTAGAAATCCATATGCAAAAGAATGAAGCTGGACATTATTCTAAGTGAAATGGCCAGTCATAAAAAGACAAATATCATATGATTCCGCTTATATGAGGTAGTTCGAGTAGTCAAATTCACATAGACAGAAAGCAGAATGGTGGTGGTCAGGGCCTGGGGGTGGGGTGGGGAATGGAGAGTTATGATAGCATTTAATGGGCCTAGAGTTTGAGTTGAAGAAGATAACGTTCTGGAGATGATAGTGGCCACAATTGCAATGGCACTGTGAATGTATTAATACTTAATGCTAGTGAACTGTGAGCTAAAAAGTTAAAATAAATTTTATGTTACATATATTTTGCCACAATTTTTTAAAAAGCAACAGATTTTCATGGGTTAATATCATGACATAAAGAATACACATAAAGCTGCTTCTTCATAAGACTTGCAGATTTTAAAAAGATTTCTCTCTCTTTTTTTTTTTTTTAAGGTGTAGTGGCAAGGATTAGGGAGGGGAAAAAGGGTTTCAAAGCTTTTTCTGGCTTCTTGCCTGGGAAGCAGTTGATTGTGTCTCTCTTTTAGCCACACAGACTGTTGTTCAAACACTACACGAATAAGACCTGTATTCTTGAATATGGGATTTAACTCTTAATATTTCTCCTCCTCTTCCCAACAAATATACGTGGGCAATCTGGACTACACTTACCACATATCCCCTCCACAAATTCTGGTAAATTCTGAGTTTAATACTACACCTAGAGAAGCCTAAAAATTCTTTTACTATCTCCCTCCCTGAATCTATATTCACCAAATGATAATAAAAGCAGAACCAAATGACAAACAGCCTTCCTTGTCAGCCTTAAATACCAACATCTGTGCCTGGAAGTAAACTTACACCTTACTCCTCTTCGAAGTTCTTCCTCAGGGAGGCAGCTAGATAGTTAAGAGGCCTATTTTAGGAAGTCTCAGTCATTTATTAAGAGACATTCTCTGCTTCAGATTGGACATTCTAGGTAAGACTGCCTCAAGAGGACACTCAGGCTGGGTGCAGTGGCTCATGCCTGTAATCCCAGAACACTGAGAGGCTGAAGTGGGCGAATCACTTGAGGTCAGGAGTTCGAGACCAGCCTGGCAAACATGATAAAACCCCATCTCTACCAAAAAATACAAAAAAATTAGCTGGGCGTGGTGGTAGGTGCCTGTAATCCCAGCTACTCAGGAGGCTGAAGCAGGAGAATTGCTTGAACCCGGGAGTCAGAGGTTGTAGTGAGCTGAGATCACACCACTGTACTCCAGCCTGGATAGAACAAGACTCCTCAAAAAAAGAGAAAAGAAAAGAAAAAAAAGAAGCACGGAGCGGGGACATCTTGGGAAGTGGAAGGACTCAGAAACAAGACATCTTATGAACCCCGATGGAATAAAACATTCCCTTTGCTACTTGTGGGAAGAAAAACAAGTATGTAATTCATTATTCCTACCTTCAAAGAATTGACTAATTGTGACAAAAATATTTAACATACATGAAAATACCTGAGACTACAGCAACCCAGACAAAATGTCTGCAGAACTATTGCTAAACGAACGGGCATTCCTCTATAGAAAAATTTAGGCAATCTTTTAACAAGAGGATTACTAGAGAAATTTCAAAGGCCTACAAACATTATATAGGTCTTTAATATCATCAGGTCTTTAATTTTAAATTAACCTCTCATTCTTCGAGTAGCCCAAAGGAAAACAGTAAATAATTCATGTCCAAGGAGAAGGCAGGGTAGAGTCCTACAGATGTTTTAGATAATACTGAGAAGTCATAAAGTGTTAGATTCACATAATTTTAACATGGTTTTCTGGACTATAAAAATCCATTTAATATGCATCTACTCACTGCAAAATAAATATCATCTCTTAGTAAAATTATGCCTCTATGGATACTTCCCTATCAAGCAGTAAGCCTTAAAAAGTAATGCAGAAGTAAAGCAAAAGAATACAGAATATTATGTTATTTATGTAGGGCCCTCAAGAAATCATATCTTTTAGTTAGTGATTTCTCGAGATAGTGAAGCTTCATCCTTAAATACAGAAATGACTTTTTTTTTTTTTAATTGTACTTTATGTTCTGGGGTACGTGTGCAGATCATGCAGGACTGCTGCATAGGTATATACGTGGCAAGCTGGTTTGCGGCCTACATCCCCCATCACCTATATCTGGTATTTCTCCCCTCGTTATCTCTCCCTGCCCTCCCAACCCTCCCACTGTCCCTCCTCTAGCCCCCCGCAACTGACTGAAGTGTGTGATGCTCCCCTCCCTGTGTCCACATGTTCTAATTGTTCAACACAGGCCTATTAGTGATAACATGCGGTGTTTGGTTTTCTGTTCTTGTGTCAGTTTGCTGAGAGTGATGGTTTCCAGATTCATCGATGTCCCTATGAAGGACACGAACTCATAGTTTTTTATGGCTGCATAATGACTTTTTAAAACCTTATTGTCTTGCATGCAAATCTTTCTAAAATGCCTTACTACATACTTCACCAAACATAATCCATTCCCCAATGATTCAGACTAAGTATTATAAGCATCCCTTTCTATACTGTACTTCAGGAGGCTCTCAGAGGCTGTTGTACTATATGGAGTGTCATTTGTCCCTATAATATTAATAAATAGTGCTGTATTGCTGTGCTTGTGTAGTTCATCTTTTAAGTACAGTTTCCTGCCTTTTTTCTCTCAATTTTTATCAACTGTCACTTTTCCCCTCTAATAATAGGGTTTATAGAAGGCTAAACTCTTACCTGCCTCAGACTCTTGCACATGTTTTTCCCTAAATACGTTATATTCTTTCCCTCACTTTTTGCCTAGCCAACTCCAACCTTTAGGGCTTCTCTTCCCTGAATACCCTCAACACAACCAACTCCAAGGTAAAGTAAAATAATAGCACAGTTTTAGAGACCCTATTTCTTACCTACGTAGTGATTTCTGTAATTTTGCAATTCCATTTTTCTTTGTATTTATTTGTGTAGCATCTAACTCCCCAAACAGACTGAAAAGTTCAAGAAGATAGTGATCACATCTGCGTTATTTGCCATAGCACAGGGCCTGGTACATAGGATATTTGTACAATAATACAATTTCCCTGAGAGAACAGACTTGTAAAATTTTTGAGATTAGCTTTGATACATGGGCCACAATGAAAAGAGTGCTTTCCCAAAGCATCTTCCACTTGAGAAAAAGAGCTCCAATACTGAATATATACATAATAAAATAAACATAACTAAGATAACTTTAACGAAACACATGCACGAAACATCTAGGGAAAATAGAAAAACCAGAAAAGCAAGCAGCATGTCCTTTTGCTACAGCTTATGTGTCATTCTTTGTTTTCCAGCTAACTGTGGCTCCCCCCCAGCCATTCCTTGGCTTCCCTGTTGAAATCACATTGTCAAAATTCAAAAAGCCCTTAGGAACTAAAATAAATAATCAAGAAATGAGTAGCAATGAATTGAGGTGCACTAGATATATTGGGCTCGCGATTACAGAGGCTGAGTAGACATTATACAAGACATGAACCCTTACAGCAGGAAATTACAGCATTAAAACACAGAATTTAGCCAAGCAGCACCTGCCATTTATTTATTTATTTTTAACATAGTCCAAATGTGAATGTTTGTCTCAGTCACAAAATGAGTCACCCTCATTGAATCTGGCACAGATTAAACTGGAAAACAAAAGCAATTACATAAACTACACACTTTAATAAGGCAGATACAAAGGTTCTCTGGATTATGGTACAAAGCACAATTTAGCCACAGAATAAAGCTTGATGCTCGACAAGAGAACTGACATCAGCACCCTTGCTAATCACAGCACAAAAGTGTCTCTATGTTTTGTCACAGCACAAAACGGGCCCACATAAATCAGTCTTTGTTATCTGAAAATATCTGAGATTCTTAAAGTTTGTCCTATTTTTATCCTTGCTGCCTTGGTAGCTCCAGAGAAAGCCGTACACTGCCTTGCCAATCCTGCAAAGCAGTAGCAGACAAAAAGGACAGGCTTTCTAGAAACCTTCAAAACCAAATACTCAAAGTAATTTTAAACAAAACTCACAAAAAAATCATTGTAATGATTAGACTTCCATTATAAGTAAGTAATGAAGAAACGGAAAGTTGCAAGATGTCTGCATAGTTGAGAAGGACTATGTAAAAACTTATTTTGTAGTCATTTCTTTTGTGCAATAGTCGTTCCAATTTTGAGTTGAACAAATAATGTCGTTAACAAGAAGTCAACAGTTAAGTCTGCATTTTGGCGTAACATAAAATTACCAAAATCTGAATCCAATTCCCTATGCTCAGTGATTGCTTCCTCTGCCTATAGGATAAAACCCAAACTCCAGCAGGGCACACAGGACCCTTCAAATCAACTCCTGCCTCATCTCCACACATAAATCTCTCCAGCCTCACATCTTGCGTCTCTGCCTTGCAACCACATTGGAAACGCTTGCAGTTTCCAAACCCTCTGCTCTGTCCTGCCTCTGGCCCCTTGGCACAAAATCTATCCCCTAGATTCAGCTCAGTCCTTTTTGGGGCACTGTCCCTGAGCTGGCTCTCAGCTCTCCATTTTCACCTTGTTCCTAAATCATTTGATATCTGTACATTTGGATGTACTGAGGGCTGGAGCCATTTTAACCTTTCGTCTTTCCTATTCC